GGGTATGCACGTTTCGCTTTATGTTTTGTTTTCTAGGAAGATTGAGGACTATTCTTTTTTTTAAATGAGAGTTGGGGACTCGGTTATAATGAATCATCTGGGAACAATTCCTCCATGTTGTCTTTTGGGAGCACCCATATGATAAATTGATAGATGTAACAATAATCACAATCTTGACATGGATTGTATCCATGCTCGGGTCCAACAAGGAAGATGAGAGCTCTGCCAGAGATTCAGTCATAATGGACAGATCTCATCAGAGGAACCAAATGAAAAGTGTCTCTCCCATAAACAATATAGTGAGATGTAATTTATGGAAACCTGTACTGGATCAGTCATTGCCTGGATCAGGGATGTCAAACTGGCATCCCACGGACCAGATGTGTCACTTGCAGACCACGCCCACCCCAGCTCCGCAAAGGGAAAAAAACATTGCAAACAATCACATGATGGCAACGTGATGCCATGAGTTTGACACCCGTAACCTGGAGCAACAAGGACCATGCTAAGTGTTGGATTTCCTGTACATAAAGTGAAAAATGGGCTCCAAGATGCAGGACCAGAGGTGATATTCAGCAGGTTCTGACCAGTTCTGGAGAACCGGTAGCGGAAATTTTGAGTAGTCTGGAGAACGGGTAAATACCACCTCTGACTGGCCCCGCCCCCATCTATTCTCTGCCTCCCGAGTCCCAGTTGATCAGGAGGAAATGGGGATTTTGCAGTAATCTTTCCCTGGAGTGGGGGGGGGGGAATGGAGGTTTTACCATATCCTTCCCCTGGAGTGGGGTGGGAATGGAGATTTTACAGTATTCTTCCCTGCCACACTCACCAAGCCACACCTATCAAGCCATGCCATGCCCACTGTTATGTCCCTGTTAGTGATGAACAGACTGAAGCAAGACAGGTTGAGGTAAAAGCTAACAGGATTTATTTCATTAACATTGTTCTAACGGGTTTGCTAGCATTGCAACCAGCAAGGCTGCTCAGCTAACAGGAGCAGCAGCTGTCAGCCTTTGACAGCTCCTTATATACTCGTGCCTGAATTGAAACAGCCAATCAGAGCATGGCTGCATCTGTAGACTGGAGGAGAACCTGGAGGCAGCACCCACCAAGCCACACCCACAGAACCGGTAGTAAAAAAATTTGAAACCCACCACTGTACAGGACTGATCAGCTGCAGGACTACTAGAAGAAAAGTTGTTTACTAGTTGCAAATATACCAAGACTGACAGCAATAAAGAAATAATGATCTTGATAAAGGAGAATATTTGTAGATCGGGGTTGAAATGAGGGGTTCTTGGAGCATTCTGAGCTTGGTTGTTTTTATGCGGTTATTTCATTATCCAAACTAGGTAACATCATAAATTGGTAAAGAATGGGGTTTGCTCTCAGTTTATATTCTCTGGCTTGCCTTGTCAGTGTTAATGGAAGTGGTCTTCTAGGTGTCTCAATGACAGTTGGTTGCACCATTTACTGTTAGATTGTTTTCTTAATTAGGGTACTGTTTACTTCTTGATTGAGTGATTATCTCTTAATCTTGGAGATAATCTACCGGTATGCTCATCTGGATATTGATTGTTGATGTGAAGGTATTTTGGTTTTTTTTTGTTTCCTTTTTGGCTTGTTGAGTCTCTCTCTTGCATACTGGAGGTTTTAAGAAGAGATTGGATATCCATTTTTTCTGAAATGTTATAGGATTTCCTGCTTGAGCAGGGGGTTGGACTAGAACAGTGGTCACCAACCGTTGGTGGTCCATGAGAAAATTTTGGTGGTCCACAGAGAAATCTTTGCATTTCTCTCGAGGAGCCCAGCCAAAGTTTCCATGCCGCTTGTGCTTCTGAGCTTTGACTCACAGGGACAGGATGGTGTCCTTCAGGCAGTTAGCTTGGCCACCTGTTAGTGGGGAGAAGTACCCAGGGTCAACCCTAGCTTTGCTGTCCATTGCAGCTAGAAATCTCAAATGTGGCTGAGAATAAACGTTTCTCTTGTGCCAGCCCGGACACTAGATCAGCCTCCTGCAAACTCTCGTCTCTTGAGGAGCATAGCTGAAACGGCGCAAGAAACTTCAGCTGGGCTCCTCGAGAGACAAGAGTTTGCAGGGGGCTGATCTAGCGTCTGCAATGGACAGCAAAGATAGGGTTGACTCTGGCTGCTTCTCTCTGCTGTAGTGCTCCCTGGACACGGTTTACTGCTCTGAGCCCCAAGCAGCAGGAGACGAGGGCTGCCTTGGTGCCACCAGCTGGTGCAAATATACCATGGCGAAGGCGGAATGCTGATGCAAATGCAAGTAGCGCTTCACTCCCGCACCTTCCAGCCATCGTCACTGCCGCTTGGGCCTGTTTGGGCTGCCCCCCCCCCACCGCTGCAACAACTCCTTTTTGCACTGCATGTGCCACCCCCTATGGCAGAGATTTCCAGACACACCACGCCAGTCCCATATTCCAGAGCTGTAGTAGTCACAAGACTGGCCTGTTGGTCATCCCAGGGCAGCTCTTCTGCATGGAGGAACTGCTCCAGGATGACCAAAGGGCCAGTCCAGTGACTGCTACAGCTCTGGAATATGGGACTGACTTTCCCACCAACATCAGCAAGCCACCGTCAGTCTGCCCATCTTCGCTTTCCTTCACTCAGATGGACCAAGCTTCTTGAGAGAAAGAACGCAAAAGCGGTTTCCAGGCTGTGTGCCTGGATCAGGTGCTTTCTCTTGGGCCTCCCACCTGGAGGCCTCGCAGAAGCAGACAGGTAGGCCCGAAAGGTGGACCTCCCCCCCCCATGGTCTGCGGGATTTAAAATCATGACTTTGGTGGTCCCTGAGGTCCAAAAGGTTGGAGACCCCTGGACTAGAAGACCGCCAAGGTTTCTTCCAACTTGGTTATTCTGTTAGTATATAGATATGTTTATGCCTATATGTTTACTGGTGGCTAATTTGTCAGAGTGTCAGGCTTCTAGAAATTGGTTAGCATTTTTGGACTTAGCCTGGTTTAGGTTGGTCACCATTTCCTAGCTGAAAGTGTGGTTATATTTGTCCATATGTTGTGAAATTAGAGTTTCCATCACATTTCTGATTGTTTTTTGGTGTTCATGAATGCGTTTTGCTAATCTTCTGCCTATTTGTCCTATGTAGGGATTGTTGCAGTCATTATACTGTATGTTGCAGATCACTCATGCTGTTTCTTCTGGAGCTACTGGCTCTTTGGTTTGCTTAGAATGTCTTGGATGTTTTAATTGCTTGTGCGTTACATTGATTCCATGTGTTTCTGAGATGTTTTTGATATATGGCAGTCTCTTTTTTTTGCAAATTGTGCTGGTTGTACTATATTGGGTTGAGTGGTCAGACACTTTTTGATGAAGTTGAATGGATATCCATTTGATTGTACAGACGCTCTGTTTCCTTTTTCTGTTGTTCAGGGTTGCTGCATTGTTTAGTGATCATCTAAATAGATTTCTTATGCAACTTTCCCTTGTGGGAGGTTGGGTTGTTGCTTTGGTAGTGGAGCACCTGATTGGTGTGGGTGGCTTTTTGGTACATTTGTGTTTCAAGTTTGCCATGGTAGTCTCTGCTGATCAGGATATCTAGAAAGGGTAGTGCTCAGAGAGCACCAAGGACCCCTGAAATAATGATCCTGTTATTAAAAATCAAGTCTAACGCAATAAAATGAGAATATCTGAAAAGAAAATACACCAGTTCTGGGAAAAACAACATCCAGAATCAGAAATAACAGAACGGAGGCCAGCAGATCAATGTTAATTTATAATGAAGTATTCACAACGGTAGAATTAGAAGAACTGCAAATATCTACCCAGGACAAAGAAATCAAAGCCTTGCCAGAAATAATTTAGACTGTAGAGACAAACCAGGAGAGTTGGCAGTAAAGCAGACTAGCATAGATATTGAGTTGTTTTCATTCCAAAATCAGGTACCCTCTCCTGTGCCTTTTCCTCAGAAAGAAGAAAGCTCTCTGCATAGACTTCAACTGATGACCTGTTGTTCAACAACCTCTTAGAATTATGATGATCTCATAAAGAGTGCTTTATGGCTTGCAAAGCATTTCTGGCCATAGTAACATTTTGTTCCCCCCTTCGCCGCCCGTCCTACGATCACAATCTGGGGGTTTGGCAACAAATTCTTAATTTATGATCATTTGGCAAATACTTTGGGAATATGTGATCACCATTTGCAATTTTTTCTGCTGGATTCCCCCAAAAAGTCAATGGGGAAGCCAGTAGGGAAGGTTGCAAATGGCTGTTATTTGCCAAGGAGACTCTCTCTCTCTCTTGTCTCTGGGGGCTGGCTGAGGGAGCTGCGTGTCAAGGGGAGCTAAGGGAACTTTGGAGAGGTATAGAAATATTCCCACACCTTGTCAAAGGAGTTCTCTTCCATGCGTGAGGGGGGTTTGGGGCAGGGGTGGGTTCTAAAATTTTTTACTATCGGTTCTGTGGGCGTGGCTTATTTTGTGGGCATGGCTTGATGGTCATGTGACAATTATTTAGGATTTAGCAGAGGTACTGGTCTACCAGGCTTTTAACTGCTTGCAGAGCTATACCGATCTACCCATTTATTTTTGCAGGCACTGATCTACTCATGTATTTTTGCAGGCACCGGTCTACTCATTTGTTTTCTTTTAACACTGATCAGCTGTAGGGCAGCCTTTTGAAGCCCCACGGCAAGAGTTTAAACAGTTTTTTTCCCTCTAGCCATCAGCTGGGACTCAGGAGGCAGCAATAGATTGGAGGTGGGGCCAAATAAAAGGTAAGAATAATGCGGGGATGGGTGGGGGGCGGGGAGGCAGAACCGGTTCGGGGACATCATATCGTCACCGCTACTGGCTCGGCAGAACCAGGCGGAACCGGGAGGAACCCACTATTGGTTTGGGGGAGGAGAAGAAACCAAGCTCAGTCCTGAATATGAGCCCTGGTCCTACATCCCACCAAAGCCATTCCCTTCTGCACACACAGGGAGGAGCTGAATTCCTTTGGCAGGCAGCTCTTTCAGTGAATCCTGGAGATGAGAGGGAGCCAAAATCCAAGCAGAGAGGCAACATGGTAAGGAAAGGAGTGTGGGGTGACCTAGACAGGTAAGGGAGGCCCTGGGAGGCCCAGTGCAGACCACACATGAGTATCTCTTCCTCAGAGGTTGGAAATCCTGCTTGGATTTCAGCAGGGAGGATTATACTTACCTACAACTCTGTCCGCTATACTAGTGGGTCCCCAACTTTCTGGCCTCATGGACTGGTAGCAGCAGCAGGGAGGGAGGGGATTGCTTTGTGCATGCAACCGAGCTCCTGTTCATGCACAAATGACCCTTCATGCGCTCACCCACTGCTTGTGCAGCCTGATTCCCAATGGGTCACAGACTAGGGCAGGTCCACAGCCCAGGGCTATACTATCTGCTCAATCGCTTAACAATCCCAACTGGCAATGCCAAATTGTGGTTATTCAGCAAATCAATTACATAAGCAGTCACATGATGTCTTGCTTAATGACCACATTGGCTGCAGAGAAGGCATGCCTCCAAAGTCCTATCAGTTCACATGGAGGTGTTCCCACAAATAGCCTGGTCTGTCCGTGTCAAGTTTTAACAATAATAACCAGCACCCAGAAAACAACTAGTAGCCGGTGCAATTCATGTAACAGTGGTACAACTAAGGCAGGCCTTGAGGTGATTAGAATGCATATGTCACTGCATTCTGGACCAATTGCAGATTCCAGAAGGTCTCCAAAGGCAGCTTCATTTGGAGAACATTTCAGAAAACTAACCTATCAGACACAGCATAATACTTCTTCAAATATGGTTTCTGCCATTAATTCAGTAAGCAATCTTAGGAACTTCAGTAATACTATTGAGCTATCCTTTTGAAGAGGAATGAGAAGAAATGGTATATGTTGTGAATTACATTATCCTATAGAATATACATTGTTAAGCATCTTTATATCAGGGGTGAAATGCTCCCGGTTCAGACCGGCTCCGGTGAGTAGGTAGCGATGGTGGCGGGCAGTTCGGAGAACCGGTAGCAAAAATCCCTGCCCCCGCCCCCCATGCCCAGCTGAGCCTCGCGATCATCAGAGTCTTTTTTTCCTTTTAAATGGCTCTGACCAGCCAAGCTCTGACATCCCAGCTGAGTTGCCTGCTAATCTGGCAACTCAGCTTGGTCACCAGAGCCATGTAAAAGAAAAAAAGTTTCTTTTTTTCTCCCCCCACCCCTCTCCCAGCCTCCAGCTTGCTTACCTTAGCTGCTGATCGCATGACGATCGCAATCCATGCATCAGCAAGCAACTGAATCTCCCTGCCTGCAATCAAGCTCATCGGTGAGCAGTTCTTTCTGCCTGCCTGCCTTCCTGCCTAGACTTGTGGACTTCAACTTCCAGCAAAGCTGGCTGAGGAATTCTGGGAGTTGAAGTCCACAAGTCTTAAAGTTGCCAAGGTTGGAGACTCCTGTTCTATTGGGTAAGTTTTTTTCCCCTTTGGGAGCTTTAAAAAAAAAGTTAATTGAGGTTTTTTTTAGTTGTTCTTTTTTTAGACCTAGCCATTTAAAGTTTAGGAAGTTTTAAATTTAGCTGCTTTTATATAAAAATAAAAATAAATTAAAATAAAATATTTATGCAGCTTTCTGAGATTTAGTGTGTTTCTGTAGTGTTTCACTCTAACTACACAAACACACAAAATCTCACAAAGCTGTATGTGGAATTTTGTGTGTGTGAAGTGTGAAAGTTGGTTTTTTGGGCTTTTTGTGGCTGTGTGAGGTTCCTGCTTGTTGTGGGGCCATTTTGAGTCTAGCACAGCTGCTTTTACATTGTGGGTGAGCCAGTTGTGTTGTGTTGTGTTTTGTAGGTTAAAAAAGGGCAAAGAAGTGACATTGACTTGGCCACGCCCACCCAGTCACCTTACCACCAAGCCCCGCCCACTAATTAAGCCCCACCCATAGAACCGGTAGCAAAAAAATTTACATTTCACCCCTGCTTTATATTTACCATAGGAGTGTAAAAGTTGCACCATTCAATTCTGCCCACCAATTCCCACAGGCTTTTTATCTCAAATGGAAATCTGCCCATCTCTGTTGTACAATTTTAGGTCCTAAGGAGAAATAGTTACAAAATGGCTAAAGACTGAATAAAAAGACAAAATGTATATATTTTTTATTATTCAGGTGCAAATGTTTAAAAACCAGTTACCATGGTAATCCAGTTTGGCTCATAATTACCATAGCAATTATAATTCATAGGATGTTGTTTAAGGGTACAAATGCAGCAACCCAGCTGTAAATTTCATCTAAAGGCAAATAACTATGGTATATTTTAATGTATTAACGTTTCATAATCCGTTCTCAGGTGTCATGCCCTTTAGAGGGTTGAATGTTTCAAGCATAATTACCTAGAATAGTTTGACCTGTTACATCAAGACGTTACAAAATGTCTTGTTCCAGAACTAAGTTTCTTTTTAAAAAACCAGCAAATTCCCATGTGATAGCGAGAATATTTTTAAAAAATTTGCTATTCCATAGACTCTTCAACACAAGAGAGACCTTTCCAGAGTTTGTAGAACTGATTTATAGGACCAATTTTAGTCTCTAGCTGGGTTTTCAGCTCTTGAAATAGCCCCATCTTGCACCTATTAGTGTGTTGTCTCCCTTGTGGAGATAACTCTGCTTCCCGTTAATTATATGTGGGAAATATAACACCTAAATACACCTATGATTCCTTTTTAGGTTTGAAACCTAAGCAAGATCAGACCTAGCTAATACTTGGATGGAGTACATTAGGGAATGTCCATGGAAATATCAACAGATTTACCAGAATATGTTCATTGCTCTATGCAGTGGAACATTTACTTCTTTTTAAAGTACCCATAACTTCCTTTTGTTTTCTTATCAATATGGATCAACATCTGCAAGGAAGTTAGACTTTCATAAAGTGATGAACCTTCCCAAGTGGCATAGAGAGTGGTGGAATTTTTTTTTCAAACAATGGTGTTTTGGGTCTAATCACTCTGGATTCATGTGTTGACTGAGGTATGAGTGACATTGTCAAATCTCTGACACCTGGCTTGTGTTGTGTGGTGATTGTGAGATTGTATTTATGTGCATGTAAGTCTGGCTGAAAAGTTGTATATTGCAGCAGGAGATAAATTGGAGGTATAGTAGAGGGCATTACATTCATTGTTTCAGGAGGAAGAAAGACTGACAATCTCATTCTGATGTCCTCTTCTGGGTTAATTTACTTATACCTATACTTCAATGGTCACATTGCTGGCACATTGGACCTCAAGATGTTAATGGCCAATACCACGTCTATAAGTAACAAGATTTCATCCATTTATAATTTGGTGGTAGATGAATGTGAAAATTTGGAGGGTGTTACTGTAATCCATTTGGACAAAGATGGTGACCTTACTCTCTCAGAGAACTGCTGTTCTATATTTTAGGTCTTTAACCTTTAGTAGCAGAGTGGAGGCATTGATCTTTAAAGATTCTCTATTAGTGACCAGGTTCTCCACTGTTGAGGGTGTGAATCAGGGGTGCTATTCAGCCAGTTCTGACAGGTTGTGGAGCACTGGTAGCAGAAATTTCGAGTAGTTCGGAGAATTGGCAAATAACACCTCTGGCTGGCCCCAGAGTAGGGTGGAAATGGAGATTTTACAATATCCTTCCCCCAGGAGTGGGGAGGGAATGGGGATTTTGCAGTATCCGTCCCCTGCCATGCCCACCAAGCCACACCACACTCACCAAGCCATGCCCACAGAACCAGTAGTAAAAAAAATTGAATTCTACCACTGGTGTGAACACCTGTAGTTAAGGCCAGATGGATAGGCTTTGGAGTCTTCTAGTGTACCAGTTGCCCCATTGCCTGGTGGGATACCTCCCAACCGGCTTTACCTAGTCTGGGCTAGTTTTGAGCTGTTTCAATTTATGGTCTTAATGGGTAACTTTTATCTCCACGCCTTGGGAGCCTGGTTAAAAATTCTCAGAAATTCAAAGCCAATTATGGCCATATCTCAAGTAATCTCAAACTCAATTCATATAGGCAGTCAAACAGATTAGACCTCTTTGTTGCCTTGCAGCAATTGTATAGTGGCTGGCATTGTCTTAATCCAATCAATTTTGTTCCTTACTTGTTTGCTTGCTTTTTTTGTTTGAATTTATTGACTGCTCAACTTCAATGCTCTCCAGTTCTGACTGTCTGCTACCTATGACTTATATGGAGTAATTGGACAAAGTGCAATAGTTCAGCCAAAGAAATTTATGACATCAGCTGCCTATAATCTTATGGGCAGTTCATTTGAGTGCTTGTTTGCCTACTGATAACAGGAGAATACTTGGGACCTTTATAAGGCTGCTTCTGCGTGGCTTCTTTCTGTATGTTGCCCCTAGGTGGTAATTTGGTCTATCAAGACTCTGAGAGAAGCAACACTAGAGCATCAGAAAAAGTTGACAAAAAGAGAGCCTGGCCAAGCTCAGGTTCAAGTGCATACTATAAGAATAAGAGTGGTGAAACACAAGTACATCTCTCTTACTACAGTAGGCAAGCAGCCTTGTTTAGGAAAGCCGACTCTCTTTGGAGGCACAGACAGCAGATGACGTGGTGGAATTGAGTGAGGAGTCAAGAGGGGGCTGGGTTTAGAGTCTTTACACAAAACTACACAGTTTGTTCTCAAGGCCAGAAAGAATATGGATATTCCAAACAAAGTGGCCACAGAAAACATCCAAATTCCCATAAGGAACGAAAGGGGGCGGTGGGGGGGGGAATAGTTTTCATCCTTTTAAAATACAAAGGCAGATATCTGTGCAAAAATAAAATGAAACAATAAAATTCTTTCAAAATTAATAATATAATCATTCTTTTTGAGTGGAGTTCCAGTGTAAATAAATAATTTTCACAACAGAAAAAAAAGACCACTAAACTGCCATCTTCCTTGTGGCAAAAGTGAAAGTGTTTCATGTCTCCACAATAGAGTGTGTGTGTGTATTTGTGTGTGTGTGTGTGTGTGTGTGTGTGTGTGTGTGTGTGTGTGTAAGAAATAGAAAATATATACACAAAATGTGATGTTAAAAGCAGAGGTGTCCCTTGAAAACAACAGTGACAGGAAAAAATGGGAAACTGGCCCCTTCAATTACTCTTGTTCAAGAGTAGCAACCCGCTGGATTCTCCCTCTCTGGCAATACACAACCTTGAGAGCCTTCTGGGAAAATTCCAAATTGCTCCCATTCAAATCCGGGTGCTAAACTGTCAAAAACAAATAACAACAACAACAAAACTCACAGCTTCCGGCAGCAAAGTCAACTCATCATCAGAGCAAAGTCTATTCATCATCAGAGCAAAAAAACCAAAAACACCTTGCTGATCAGGATACCATTTCTGGAGGACTCCACTACCGTGACCACTTTGAATGACACTTTGCTTATGTAGTTACTCCGGTTAACCAATCTGTTGATTCTCTGCAGCGATTGGGACAATGGCTTGTCATGTGTCAGTTCTTCAAGGTGAGCTAATCTCAGTTCTTCAAGCAGAATTGACTTACCCAATTCATTTGTCCTAAGAAAACCTGCTGGTAATCCTCAGTTTCTGAGAGATCTTGTTTTATTTATTTATTAAACTTATATTGCCATCCATTTCGCCTGGGTGCAACTCTAGGCAGCTTACAACCATAAACAAGACAAAATATTAAAACAATAAATGTTAAAGACTAAAACTGATTTAAAATTGACAAGATGGAAAGGAAGGGAGCAAGGTGTGCATGGGGAGGAGGTGGGGTTGTATTTTAGTCCATTAATCACTTCAGAATGACACACACACACATCCCAATTGGGGATCCAGGCCTTCAGGCCCTTTTGGAAGGCAAAAAGGTGGGTGCAAATCACACATTGAAGGGGCACGATGTTTTCAGAGGAGAGGAACCATGGCAAAAAATATGGCTCATCTGTTGGATCCCACCTGCTGAAATTCTTTGACTGATGGGGTCAGCAGCATACCACCCTCTGCCAGCACGGATGGGGTAGGCCATTCCCATTGGGGTAAGAGAGACATCCATTGCATGAAGGGCTTTAAAGTTAAAAACCAACACTTTGAATTGAACCTAGAAGCAAACTGACATCTATTGCAGCTCATAGAACAATGGTGTAACATGGGCCACACCAGGAGCCCCAAGAACTGTTCACATACATGCTTTCTCTGCCAGCTGTAGCCTCATGTAGAGTCCAAGTGTGAGATGACCAGGGCTTGAATGATTGAGCCCAGAGGCTCCTATCTAGGAGTGAGAGCAACTGGCACACAAAACAGCACAAAGGCTTTCCTAGTCATCACTTACCATCTGAGCAGGAGATCCAGGAGAATACCCAAGATGTTAAAGTCCCAGATCCCAAAGCTCCACACATCCATAGCCACTCAGTCTTAGCATGGTTCAGCCAAAGCCTGTTGTCCCCTTGCCTGTGGCCTTAATCCCATAGCCTCCATACCCCCAATCAAGTGGCTGGTATGATTGTGCTTGTTGCCACTACGATGTGGTAGATGCTCTTGTGCTTTTTATATTGTTGATTTTAATATTGTATGCTATCTGGAGTCATTGTGTGTGAGTTTGGCAGCCACATCAATCTATTTAATAAATAAATAAAATGATGTGATCTAGTCAAGCAATGAACATCTGCAAGTAACACTAGCTCAGAGAGCAGCAACAATTCCACATTTATTTGTTTTTTACATTTATTTGCCATCCATCTCACATCCATTACTCTGAGTTTCTTACCCAAAAACATAAAAAATTCAAAAACAATATAAATGATTAGAAATGCAACAAAAACAGTAATTTAGAACAATAAAGACTATTTGAAAAACCAATAAAAATACAATGTGTGGAGGAGTACAATCAGTTTTCCTAGCAATGCAAGCCACCTTATAGGCCAGTGATTGCGAAACTTTTCGGCACCAAGTGCCGAAAAGGTTGCACAGAAACATCGCACATGCATGCTCTCATCACAACCGCACTCCAGAAAAACTGAACTTCTGGGTTGTAGTGTGTATGCGTGCCCAATGATCAGCTGGCCGGTGCGCATGCGCAGGCCGGTTTTCAGCACTGCAGCACGCGCAAAGGGATTATGCTCTGGAAAAGCCAAACTTCCAGGTTCTGGCATGCATGTGCACCTGACAATCAGCTGGCCGGCATGCATGTGCACACCAGTTTTTGGCACTGCCACGTACGTGAAACCCAGGAAGCAAACAGACAAGGCCATGTGTGCCAGATGACATGGCTTTACGTGCCACTTTGTGCATGCTTGCCATAAGTTCGCGATCACGAAGTCTCTACACCACTGTTACTGGATCCTCATGCCAGATGGGAATGCCTAGTCTTGATATTTTTAAGAAGAATCAAGCAAGCTCCTGATTCCTGTGCATACTTCCGTCCAGAGCCAGTCTGGTATAGCGGTGAAGGCACCAGGCTAGAAACTAGAAGACTGTCAGTTCTAATCCTGCTTTAGGCACAAAGCCAGCTGGGTGATGTTGGGCCAATCATCTTCTCTCAGCCCTAAAAGCCAGGTAATAACAAGCAAGTTCTGAAATTTTGCCAAGAAAAATTCAGGGACTAGATTGGGCAATTGCAGGACTTAACAATGACTTGAAGGTGCACATATGCACTTTGTCCAAGCATTCCCATTCTTGCAACAGTGCTTGCACGTTGGAATACCTGGTATATCCTCAGAACGATTAAGCTTAGAACAAATTATGAAATTGTTAGAGAACCAGATGCAAGAGTTTGACAAAATTCCTTCATTAGAAAGTAGAGTGTCCCCCATTCCCAACCTTACAATATCATCAAAGTATATTTTTCTGTCAATTGTCTAAATACTGTAGTCAGCTACAAAAAAGGCAAAGATCATTAAGTGATTATTCTCCTGAAATAGAGATGCTGCTATGAGAATTTTTTCACTGGTGATTTTCTATTG